AAAATATGTGTAGATTTATTTATTTATTTGTTTATTTAAAGCAGAGCTCTTTGATAAGCAGAGGGGGCACGATCCACTGGGATTGCAGGAGCCCCTCTGAGTTGAATGGGACTGTCGCAAGGCCTACCTGGTGGACCACGCCCTTTGTCTTCTTATTACAGCAGGCTGTACCGAGGAGGGGAGGGAGCCACACAGACTCCTCCTTCCTTGTGCTCAGGGTCAAACGAAAGGTCCAGATTCAAGGCTGGTTCTCCTGAGATGCTTCCAATTCCCAGAGTTCTTTCCGTGCTGGGAAAGTCCCCCCTGCCAATGGCCGGCTTTTGTTTGTTTCTTCAGATTGGCTACAGATTTGTCTGCATGAGGGGTTCAGCGTTCAGCTTTACTAGGCAGAGCTATCATTTATAAAGAAGTATGTATAAACTGAGCTATCGTTTATAAAGAAGTATGTATAAACTGCCGCGGGGTTCCAGGACCCGCCATCTTCACCATCCTGTGAAACAAGTGAAGCGAAGCGTGTGACTTGCGCAACGTCTCCTAGCAAGGGTAGTGGCTAGTTGCCCTGCCTTTGACCAGCCCTCAACATGTGTATTGCACATATGTCGCTTCCCCCGCTATCACCTTCCCACAATCCTTATCAAGGAATATAGCTCCTAGTAACAGAAATACCAACTACGGCACCCTGACCTGGATAGCCCAGGCAAACCTGATCTCGTCAGATCTCGGAAGCTAAGCAGAGCCGACCCCGGCGAGTATTTGGATGGGAGACCTCCTTGGAATACCAGGGCTCAGGACGACAGGCAGAAGCAGGCTGTCAAGCCACTTCTCTGAATGTCCTCCATGTTCCAGTAGGAGTCACCAGAGGCTGTCATGACTTCCAGGGACGGGCTCACATGCACACAGACACAAAATGCAAAAATACCCCCCCCAAAAAACCCTCCCACCAAAACCAACAACCCAAGTACAGCTATTGAGAACCCAGGAGCCACCAAGTAAAATTCAGAAATGTGCCGCCCATGAAACGATAGCAGAATATTGGCACCGCAGGAATGTGCTGCACGTGAAACGATGGCAGAATATCGGCATGACTGAGTGATACTCAGAAATGTGCAGCAAATGAAACGAGAGCAGAATATCGGCAGCACTAACTGATCCTCGGAAATGTGCCGCACATGAAACGATAGCAAAATATTGGCACTTCCTCTCCCACCAAATCCTTTTTCCCTTGTAGAAAGGAAACCCAAGCATAGCCATCTGCTGAGCCTCCCGCCACGAGTCTCTCTGTGGAAATGTTGTGGGTGGGACACACATCCATGCATTTGCTGGAAGATTATTCTCGTGGATAATGTATGTTGGTGCTACCCAAGGTTTCAGTTGCCATATTTTTAGGCATCTGTTTCAGTTTCAAACAAAAACACCAACTGCCACGGAAGACAGGCATCTTCCCGACAACAGGAAATTATTATTTTAATGAGATACGAGGTCAACGGGGGTGGTAGAGAACTGAGCATTCGGTGTAGGTCTGATTAGATTTGATGTTTACCTTCAAGAAAGGAGGTGTGGGCGTTCTAACAGCTTTTAGCTCAGCAAAGCTGCTCGATCGATGGTAATAAAATGACTCCGAGATGCACCTGCGGTGCTCATCCCTCCTCATCGAAACCCAGTCCTGGAAGGATAGTGCATGGCAGAGGGTTTGCGAGAGTGTGTGTGGGTGGACAGATGGACGTGCAGAGGGGTCATCATTACGGCAAAGCCACATGATAGGAACCACGTAACGGGTGGCATTGACCAGCAGGAGAATTTGAGCTCTTTTGCCTGTCCATTCCATCCCTATTAGCAGCCTGTGACCCTTCCTCATCTCAAAACACACACACACCCCCGGTCTTCTGGAAGCCTGACAGGACTTGCCTTGAAGTGGCACAAAGGCACGCCCCCAGCTAGTTTACTTCCTCAACTTGCCTCCTCTAACGTTGCCAACTCTAGGTTGGTAAATTCCCGGAAACTGAGATGGTGGAACCTGGGAAGGGTGGGGTTTGGGGAGAGGAGGGGTTTCAGCAGGGAATAATGCCACAAAGTCCACCCTCCTGGAGATCAGTTGTAATTCCAAGAGATATCCAGGCCCCAACTGGAAGTTGGCAATCCTCACACAATGCTTTTTGCCCTCCGTTTGCCTTCCTGCTCTGTGTTTCTTCGGACAACTTCTAGACCTCCCTCTCCTGAGCCCCCATGCCACTCCATTTCAAGTATTTCCAGGTTCTAATTAGAAGAAGGAGAGATTGGATTTATCCCCCGCTGTTCACTCAAGAGTCTCAGAGTGGTTTACAATCTCCTTCCCTTCCTCTCCCCACAACAGACACCCTGTGAGGTAGGTGGGGCTGAGAGAGCTCTTTCGAGGACTGCTCTTGAGAGAACAGCTCTGAGAGAACTTGTGACTGGCCCAAGGTCCCCCAGCTGGCTGCATGTGGAGGAGAGGGGAATCAAACCCAGTTCTCCAGATTAGAGTCCATCACTCTAAACCACTACACCAAACTGGGGAGCAGTTCAGCATGGAGACTTCCAAGGGTTATTTTGTGTGTGCTTGGCTCAATAGAGTGCCTGGATTGGAGGAAGATCATTCCAGATGGTTGCAGTGTTAGTTGACTGCAACAGAAAATAAACAGGAGTCTTGCAGTGACTGACAGGTTAATGAGATTTTATTCCAGCATAAATGCTTGTGGCCTAGAGTCCACTGATTTCATCCTATGAGTCCAGGAAGCTTATGCTGGAATGAAAATCTAATCAGGACTGATTCACATGCTACAAAGCCCTTGTGTCGCCCACGTAGAGGTGCTTTGGCACTTTCATGCTCAGAGCTTAATTTCCAGGCCCAATTTGGTGTTGCACCATAGTGTACAGGAAGAGGGCCTTTCCCTTTCCTGCTGTTGTTGCATTAGGGAAAACTTACATGTAGCCATCAATACGTGCAAGTTTCCCTAACATGGCACATAGTGGACCCCTCGGGTCATTTCAGTTTGAAAAAAATGGCACTCTTGTGGGGGGAGGTTTAAACTCTCTTCTGACAATCCGGATCCGAATCGAGTCACTGCACATCTGGGAATTAAGTTCTGCGTCCAGGATTTGCAGAACACGTCTGATCAGAAATTCTTGTTGTGTCCATGCAGGACTTTGTAATGTGTGATTTCATCATCTTTCAGGTGCTGCAAGGCTGTGGTTTTCTTTCGGGGGGAAACTGACATTCCGGTCTCCACATATGACTTGAGATGGCCCCAGTGTCACACGTTGGGTGGCCAGGACCAGTGTTCCTTCTAAGCTGAGTTAGTGTGAGCTAACTCACAGTTTTTTAGCCTCCGGCTCACACATTTCTGTCTTGGCTCAGGAAAGACGGCTCCAGAGCAAACTAATTCATGCAGTAGCCAAAATCGCTCGCTCACAACTATAAAGCCAGTAGCTCACAAAGTAGAATTTTTGCTCACAAGAAATCACAGCTTAGAGGGAACATTG